AAAAAAAAAAAAAAAAAAAAAAAAAAAAAAAGTATCGATATCTTACAATTGTAGTTGCACGTTAAAGCCCAACACTTTACACTTTTTTCGCTTTTGTTTGTTTAATCTCGACTTTACTACCCATTACTGTCCGACGTTTATCCTGTATACGGCTTATTTACTCCGATATTTTTCTCCACAGATGGATAATTGTGTTATGAAAATATAATTGTGTGTGTTGTGCACGTGTAAATGTAACAGTACGTGTAGTCTTGATATTATTCTGCTTGTGTAACGTGTAACGTGTAACGTGTAACGTGTCACGTCTGAAAGAAATACTTCGCTGCATCATTAATCTAGAGTTTAGCAGAGTTTGTTTTATTAAATCGAGTACGAATTTCCATATTTTCCACTATATTTTCAACATGTTCGTTCAATAAATAAACAACGAGGAAACGTTGACTCTCATTGTTTATTGACACGATGCAAAAAGCATGAAACTTTTGGTGGCACTCGAAGATAGCTCGAAGAGATCGAAGAAAAAAAGTCTCGTTTGTTTAGTTTATTATTAAAAAATACGCGATTACTTTAATTTTCACTTTTACAAAATGCGTTCAACGCGTGCAACGTGCGTATGTGGTGCGACGACGATAGAAATGTAATTTATCGTTATCTAAAATCATCATTGTTTTCAAACTGCTAGACTACAAAAATAAATATCCGACTGGCTAATATAGCTCGATATAATATTTCGCGTCGAACGAATGTATATATATGTATATATATATGTATATATGTATATATATATATATATATGTATATATATATATATGTCGTGCGATACGATAGATTATAAATAGTGAACAACACGGTAATGAGAAACTGCAGATAGAGAAAATCGCGGAGAATTGAGAAAAGATACGGCTCGATAATACGGAAGTGCAATCGTGTCGTTCGACTCCCGTTACTATAGCAATGACGATATAAAATACACACGACAAATCGTGTATATCGATAACCAATTTCGTTTCGATCTTCGAGTCATTCCAATAAAAAAAAAACCGTCAAGTATAATTCGCTTGACGTTTGCGTCAAAGATCGAAATTGATTTTTTAAATATGCACATTACGCGTTGGTAAGGTGCGAGTTTTCACTTTTTCATCACTAATAACGTTCGATCTATCGATTCGATTATTTCACGACGTTATTATTTTACGCTCTACAAATTTTTCGCGTATTCTATTCATTTTGGAAATGCGCGTCGAGAAACTGCGTCGTGACCCGGTTCACTTTCTTTAAGCTTTCGTTCATCGTATTCAGAATACGTGGTCGATATTTATTGCAGCTCCTTCGTACGATATTTTCCGACTTGTTTCCCTGCTTCTGCTGCCGTGAAAGGCAAGTCTTTTCCAGAGGAAAACGAAAATTACGCAACATATCTGCAGAATTACGACGCATTAATCGTCGTGCTCTCACTTTGCTTTTCAATGTTCGCAATGTTCCCTTTCGATGTTTTTCGATTTGACAGTTTTAACGATTAATCGACGAGAGACAGTCTATACACATCCAGTGATTAGCAGTCAATCGTGAAGTAAAAAGCGAATAATTAAAGGAGAGAAAAGAAAGAAAGACACGAGGAGAGAGAGATTGAGAGACGAAAATGAGAGTATGGAAGAAATGACAAACGTGAAAAACACACAAGTATGTATGTACGTACATGGCGTGTGTGTGTGTGTGTGTGTGTGTGTGTGTGTGTGTGTGTGTGACACACACGCGCGCGCGCGCACACGCAGCATACGTATATATATATATACGTATATCGACGATATTGGTTGATAAGTATGATGAAAATTTGTCGTAGGAGTCGCGTAATGACTGCGACATCCTTGACACGGAACGTGTAATATGCGTGGAAAATCACGACGTTGTCAGAGATGAGAACGAGTGTCACACTTACGCAACATGTAACGTAGCGTAAGTGAAAGACGAAAGATGAAAGAAGATGAAGGAGGACGAAAGCATGAAGACAGGAAGAGAGGAAGAGAGAAAGACGGAAAGAAAGCGTGAAAATGTTCAGACGGGCGAGAGTGAAGTTTGGTTAAAGGTCGATCGTTAAATCGAGTATGAAGTTGGTGATCGATCGACGGGATGATAATTAGAGTACTCACTCGACGAGTCAGGGCAGTGTAGCTTCATATACGCGTCTTGTAGTGTGTATCAGGCCATCGGAGTAGGGCCGAGCTCGCGGCCTTTCTTCCGCAGCTTCGAATCTAAAGCCACCGTCCGCACTGTATGCCGTCGAGGTAGCACCGCGCGCGCACACCCGCGCTACACCATTCTCAACACAAGCACTAGAACCACCAGCAGTACCAACGCTAGCACCAGTACCAACCACGACACCGACGCCGCCAATGCTTCTATACCGAGCATATTTCCAACGATATAACGCTGTTGTCGACGACACCAGCGGCGACAACTATCAGCCAGAACGTCTTTTCTCTTCGCCGAGAGATGTTCACAGTTCGGGAAGATCGGCAAGACAGAAGAAAGTTTGATACGAGATACGAGAGAGAGAGAGGAAAGAAGAAACCAGTGCGTACTACGAGACTAGTAGTCAGCGGTGAGAGGACGGTTTGTAATACGGCTCCAAATTCCCTTCGCTCCAATTCTTCATATTGTTGCTATATCGGTACATACGTCGCGTGCGTGCGTGCGTGCGTGCGTGCGTGTGTGATTGGAAGGAAGAATCCTGGCGTCCGTGCCAACACACATGCATTCACACATGTATACGTCATACGCACGCACGCACGTTTCTCTATAGTTACGTTTGTATGCTCTGTGCCTACTATGGACTATCCACGTTTCTCGAGATACAACGCATTATTGCAAACACGCGCATAGGCGCACAACATACACCGTCGTCGACCATTGTCCAAGCTTTCCAGACGATTTGTCACCTTTCACCCTACTGTTACAACCTTTGTCAACCGGTGATACAAAGTTGCTAGACTGTCGCATATGAACCGGATTGATCTGTAACGAATCTCTACGTCAGCTTCGCGGAGGTCAAATCCCGCGGACGTGTCGTCGTCTTTGTTCAGTTCAGCTTCGGATATTCTCGTGCTTGTCCGTCGAGTATTGCCGCGCAGTTTCGGCCAAGAATCGGTTACTCGACGACGACAGTCATCCGGAGCTTTTCCAGTCTCCCCGTTTCCATCCTCGATTCGTCCATCCTTTCAGCGAACGAGCAGTTCGCGCCACCGAGTTATTATTACCGAACTTTATCGATGACGGACACACATGTACGCAGAATCCTACTTTATGTGTGTGTGTGTGTGTATAGATATACATAGTACGTTCAACGATGAGACGCTTGTGTTCCAACTAGTATTACCGATCCTTTCGACAAAAACTGGAATCTCACGTTTCCTTTTCGTATTATTTTTTCTTGTCAAAAGTCAGAATGTCAAATATTTCCAAGATAAAAATCGAAACCCATAATAAGTTCGATGCTAAATATTTATAACCAAGTAATCGTCGATTCTCTTAGTGTGTATAAATCTGAAATCGGATATTAAACGTATCGTGTAAAGTTAGCAAAATTTAAGCAATTTAAACTGTAAATACAAGACGACTCCAAAAAGAAAAAGCTTTCCTTTTCCTCGTTTCTTTTCATACTGTGTGTTTATATTGAAAGATATAGAAGCAGTAGTAGAGTTTAATGCGTGATTAGATCACAGTGTCACGATACATAATTGATTTCTCGTAACAATTATTATTTTTCAGCATTTTTTTTTTCCATTCATTGTTCTCCATTGAGTGACAGTTGTCACATTCGAGATTAATTACAACTTTAAAAAATTTCATGCTTTAAAATTTTCATACCGAGTCATGAAAATTTTAAGAAACTTAAAAATATAGATTCGAGCAAGAAAAGCAGCGCGCAAGTTCACATAGCGATCATTTTAATTAAAATCTTTCAATAACCGGCACCGAGTGGAGTAGTTTCTTTTGAAAAGAAAATTTATAACTACACTTACGCGCAAATTACAAACTGACATTAGACGACATAATATATATATATATATATATATATATATACCGATATACATTTGATTATTTTTTAATATATTAAATTTATACGTATCTAATAATAAATCTAATTCTAAAATTATCGAAATTATTGAAATACATTAAAAATTAATGTATCACGAATATAATTATTAAGGAGGAAGGACGGTAAAATAAATGATATATCACAAGTGTAAAATTTTATATTCTTTCTTGTAAGGATAGCAACATTGAAAGTAAAATTAACAAGGAACAATTTCTATGGATCCTGCTTGACCTTGGCGCACCAATGGCATCACGGAGGCCAGCAAGCTATAACAAAAGCTTCTGCACATGTGCGATGTTGTCAGTGAAATATTCCGAAGCAGTGACGTAGCAAATTACTTGTAATTACTGTCTACGCACATACTTACATTGATATTGATTCTCTTCTCATCTCACGGTAATTTTATTTTCTTTCTGCTAAGATACAAAATAATTTGAAGAAAAATTTAAAAAGCACTTGTGTACGAACGTTTATATTTTCATGAAAACACATTTTTTTAACTTTTTTTTTTGTTTTTCAATATTCTTCTACGATCGTCAAACAATCGTTTTTTATTTGGCTTGAGCTTTGATCAAGTTGGATAATAGTATATTTATTAACGATGTAATGGTATATTTATTATAGTCGATGTACAACGATACTGTTGATTTTTCATTGAAATATTTATTTCAAAATTTAAACTAAAATTTTTATCGTTTGTATGATAATCTTCTTTGTTTAAATAATTTTTATCCTTTATATTTATAAAACTTCACGTCATAATGTTTCTAGTTGATATTTCAATTTCAATATGATATTTCAAGTTGTAATGAGAAAAATTAGTTTTGATATTTCATAATTGGAACAAATAAACTAAAATAATAATAAATAATGACATTTTATATCGAAAATTTTTACCGCTATTTTCAATACGCTACTGTTTGGGTTAGAATGCTCTGGAGACTTATTGATCAACGATCAGTATATGCCAAAGTTTTCTACACGCCTACCGACGACCGTCTATTTTTCGTTTCGTAAAGAGACGATGATCAAACTTTGTATGAACCGAAATTTCTGTGTAATTTTAAATTAACATAGAAATTATTAAATAAGTATTAAATAAATATTCCCTTCGCTGTAAACTAACTTTCATTAATTTTCCTGTTCATAAATAAAGGAATAACAAACTCGCGTCTTTTTTTCCTAACTTATTTAATTGATTTCAGAATTTTGAACATTCAAAATCTACGTTATGGCCATTTTATTCGTATCTTCGAAACGTTATGCGAAACGATCGACTATTCATTTCTGAAATTGCGAGATTTCATTACTAAAAGTTTCCAGAATTCATTTATACGAAATGTTGGAATGAGATATATATACGTATAAAAATCTCTAAAAAGTAAGTAGAATCTTCTTCGCAGCAGCATCAAAGATACATCATGTATAATAATTAATAACTTTTCACTTCAAAAACTGAATTTCTTTAACGCACTTTTCTCAATTTTACATGTCAGCGTAGAGATTTCTTTCTAAAACAGAGGCAACCATATAAATTAAATAATCACAGATAATAATAATCATTTCTATTGGAGATATAAATGAATATACTTAATATTTTACAATTCTTCTTCAACTTGATCTGTTGTGAAACATGGTTGTTTAATGCAGATGTATATGATATGTTTGTAATATGCATAAAGAATGTTTTAATTATAAATTCATAAATTGTATAATTCTCAAAAATTCATCAAAGATGCGCGTCATGTCTCAAATTGAATAACTTGAGTAATTTAAGATATCTTCTAATAATTAACACAATTCTTTGTTTAAGTGAATCCTATATATTAATCTTCTCTGTTAATCCAATGTATAAGTTCAATTATGTTTTGAATATATTTGTTCTTTGATATATTCTTATTTCATTCAGTTCTAATGATGTATCTTCATCTGTGAATATCTACATTTTAGGTTATAAAACTGATTTCTTTGCACTTTCTTCATTTCCTATGTAATATGGATAAAAACTTTTTCCACGTATTAATAATAATATCCAGCAACATTATATTATATTCAGCAGACATATATTTCAGTATCCGTTGTTGTAAAGTCAATTATCAATTAAATAATATTTATATTTTACAACTCGTGTAATCAGTTATACGCTCCAAAAATATAACTGCTGCAAAATTGTAGAATGGTAAATGTTAATATAAATTTTTCATAATTAACATGGACAACGTATGTATGACCAATGTATCTTTTGGAAAGAAGTTAAAGATATCAATGTGCTTTGCGTCAGGCTATGAGATCTATTATCTACTATCTATATTGTATTTGACTCTCCAAAGTTGATGATTAAAATGAACGTTTACTTTCAGAGAATAGAATAAACTTTATATACAAGAATGTTTCAAAAATAATATTATTTTTACTTAAATTTGAATATTATAGATTAATTAGCTTTTTGTTTATAACTTCTTTGAAAAACTACTGTATACTGCAATATACTGAAATTCATTTTGTATCATATATAAAGAAATACAATAAAGTAATTTCAATATTAAGTATAACTTGACTAAATCATGTTGTAGAGAGGGACATAACACGATTCACATGTCAATAATTGCACGTACTTAACCTATATTGAAAAATAGATTCCAAATCAATCGCAATACGTACGCGTGTTACGTAGCATTTATACGTACGAAACTAAAGAAAGAAGTTCCTCGATTAAAGACTGAAGAAAGAAATAGCGAAAAATGAATTATTAAAAATTTAAAGCGGAGGAGAAAGTAAAACAGGTGAGGCTTGCGATATATACGTACGTATGAGAAAGATAGTCAATGAAACGATGTGTGTGTCTGAGAGAGAGAGAGAGAGAGAGAGAGAACGAGCATAGGGGTGCTGGCGTGAAATTAAACGTACGCTACTCGTGACTCGTGGCCATGGCGGTTCAGTCTTTAGGTTGCGCGCATGGTGTGATTGTGTTTCGAAGTACTCACGACCGGTCTTGACTAGTGCTGATCGATGCTTTCGATGTGAAAGTGAAGATGTATTAATAAGGCTACTAAAATGTTGCTAGTTCATTTTTATTTTATCGATTTTATCGTATGAAAAGTTTCTTAAGGTTTCTTTGTCGTATATATTTGTTATACATGCGTGTAAAGGTTAGGAAAATTGGACACCTCGATGTATCAAGTTGTACACAAAAACAATAAATAGTTCAGATAGGACTATGTTTATCGTGTCGTTAATCGTGTGAAATGAATCGAATGTACAATGTCATTTATGGTTCGTTAAAGAATGCAGTTTTAATAGCAGACGGAAGAATTGAAACTGTCGGTGGCAAGCAGAAACAGGTCATGCGAGTGACGTAAGGTAACGGATCTCCGTATGGATAAATAATTTATAGAAAAGAACAAATGAGACGACTAAAAGAAAAGAAAAAGAAAGCTGTTGGCACGGTAAAATGACAATTCACATTGCACGTATATGTATGTATATACATGTTATACACGTGTCGTACTTGCCTACTTCTACGACTACTCTGTTTAACGATCTGTTAACGAATAATAATATTTCAATTTTTGCGACTGTCTGAAAATTATTTCTCTTATTTAACCAATGTACGTTTCAACGCAGTTTACAAAGTTTTCAATTAAACATACATATCTACTATGTTTTTTGCTTGTCACATACGTTACGGTTATAAACGTTACTCTGTACCTGTAGAATATTTTGAAAATATTTACAAATTGTGAAAGTATATACGTACTACGTAGAATTAGATCGACGAAATAATTTGTTACTCAACTTCAAATATTTTTAACTTGAAAACTTATAAATTAAAATAAATATGATACATTTTATACAATTATATTTCAATACAATTATAATGAAACAATTATGTATAATGAAACACGTATAGATAATATTACCATATTAGATGTTTGAACATATCTATATTTAATAGGACAAATTATAACGAAATACACGGCAAGCAGTATTGTTGTTTCTAACGAGATACGTACTTTTAAATCTTCTTTTCTAACTAGAAATAAACGTGTGTGTATACATACGCCTAATTGTTTTAAATAATCGATTGTCAGTTATGTGCATTTGTGTATTTTAAATTACAAATAGTTGTTGTTTAGTCCTCTTAGTGAAATTTTTCTTTTAAGATTTGCATTGTAATTCATATCATGACGTATACATATTGTACACTTTGGTTTGTACATCTTAATAAATCAGTACACCGACTAATTATTCGGTCAGATTTATTTCCTATGAAAGAACATGTTGTGTTATATGTATGCGTCATATATTTTTATATTTTTATAACATTTACTTGTATAAATTTTATGTTTCAAGTTCTACTTTAATTTCCTTACGAATAGTGTTCAAACTATAATTGGCTAAAGTATTTTTACTACGTTGTATTGAATGTTGTCTAGCAGTTTCTTATATTAAATTTTATGATTTTAACTTAATTACAATTATGATAATTACAATTAACTTAAATTTTATTTTTTTATACCGATTGTATATGTACATATACATATTTTTATGTATGAAATGTCGTATCTTATTTTATGTATTTTATTATTTGTGTACTGTTTAGAAAATATTTACACCTAAATTATATTGTTTATAAAATTATAAATTTTGAGATATGCAGTATGTTTATTACTATGAGAAAGATGTGTGCTTGTGCGAAAGATCATACTTTTAGATTTTGGGCAGGGATAGTTATTAATCAAATACAGTTCAATAATATTTGTTGCTGTGAGTTTAGTAAGTGTGTCACGAGGTATGCTTATAAATTTCACAGCGCAACAGTGAAAGGGAATATAAGGGAAACTCGGACTTGACCTAAACGTTGGAGAGGGGCGCATATCCGTTCAAGTATATTGTATGTATATGCTTGAAATAAGTACAAGTGACATTTGAAAATGCGTATTATACATATACGCATTATGTATATCTATATACGTATATATCAAGAATACGACAGTTGATTTTATACTTTATCGCAAAGTTTACAGAGATGCGACCGTCACTGAAATTGAAAATTGCCCTAACTTGTGCACCAACTATTATCTTTTTAAATAGTAGTTTGCATATATCCCTTTCCATACTTGTTCGGAATATTTTATATAGAGAATATTTTATATACAAAGAATACGCGTGTAACACCTTGGAAAGATTAACATTTTAAAAAATATCACGAAGCTAAGAGGGACATAAAATCGTACAGTGAGTTGCGTGTGTTAGCAAATGAAGTAAGTAAGGGAATTCCGCCTCTTTCGTTGGTAATTACTGGAAGATAAACAGAGAGAATTATTTGGTTGTTAATTTTGTTGCGTACGAAGCTCTATCGTGCAAAAGCCTAAATGCGTAACGGAATG